CCTTAAATATCGCTTATTTTCATAGAAATCCCTGTTTTTAACCTTAATTATCGCTTGTTTTCATAGAAATCCCTGTTTTTCCCCTTAAACATGGCTCATTTTCATAGAAATCCCTGTTTTTAACCCTTAAATGTTGCTTATTTTCATAGTAATCCCTGGTTTTAACCCTAAAATATTGCTTATTTTCATAGAAATCCCTGTTTTTCCTCTAAAATATCGCTTATTTTCGTGGAAATCCCTGTTTTTCCCCTTAAATATCGCTTATTTTCACAGAAATCCCTGTTTTCAACCAAAAATATTGCCGATTTTGAGACAAATCCTTGTTTTTAACTTTAAATATCACTTGTTTTCATAGAAATCCCTTTTTTTAACCTTAAATATCGCTTATTTTCATAGAAATCCCTGTTTTTAACCAAAAATATCGCTTCCTTTCATAGAAATCCCTGTGTTTAACCATTAAATATCGCTTATTTTCGTAGAAATCCCTGTTTTTCTTCTTAAATATCCCTGTTTTTAACCTAAAATTAATATGGCCCCATACTTTCTGCTAACGTGCTTTCATTTTGTAGTCATTAATTTTGCTGGGCAGTTAGATTTTAGTATGTGAATATTTTACATACATGTAAATGGTACTGCCAAAGAAAAAAAATCAAAAAAACTCCCTGACCACATGAATGCAAATAGATTCCTTTTTTTTTTTTTTTTTTAACACACACTTAACACAGCTTTCCTGCTTTTCCCTGTTTTCTTCGTTTTCCCCACCTCTCCTCCCATTCCCGCATCTAATTTTGCGTTCTTCCCCTGTCATCGCAAAAGAAAACATGGTCAGGTACTGAGCTGCAAGTCTGCGTCAATCCAGTCGGAATTCTTTCCGCGGTCTCTGCTGCCACCGCGTGGCCAATGCGCGTAAATGAACTATGTTGCATGGTGCCGCACACTACGCATGCGCCATTCCTGTCACACCACTACGCATGCGCCGATTGAGTTACACTAGAGCGCATGTGCAAGT